ATTTTCCCAACAGCTTTTTCAAATGCTAAGTTCCTTCCCAAATAGCTGGGATCTTTGGGTTTACCAAACATTCTGTGCTTATTTGTTTCTGTGTATCTATTTGTGCTTTTGACTCATTCTGCTCCTGTCTTCTTTAGAAGCTTGCTCCATCATTCTCATCTTCAATAAATTCCTATCTTCTTCGATGCCTTATAAACATGCTCAAGTCTCCCCATCTTTAAAAAAAACCCCAAAACAAAAACACCTTTCTTTAAGCCTGCGACCCCCTCAAATTATTCTGTATCTCTCTCCTTCCTTTTATTGCTAATCTACTAGTAAAAGTAATATACACTGGCCACCTCTTCTTCCTTATTACTTGTTCTCCAAAGTTCCCAATGATCTGGTGGCTAGATTTGATGGGTCATTTCTAAATCAACTCCCTCCTTGATCTTTTCGCAGTCTCTGACAATATTGACCATTACCTCCAGGAATTTCTCTTGGCTTCTGAAACACTACTCCTTTCTGGTTCTTTTTCTACCAATCTGAACATTGCTAGTTAATCTTCTATTATGCCCTAAGTGCCTCCTCCAATGCTTTGTCCTGGGCTCTCTCATTTTATCTTTAAACTTTTTCCTTTGTGATTTCATTGGCTCCCACATAAGTTTAATTATGACTCTACACTGATGACCCTGACATCTCCATATCCAGACCTGTTTTCTCTACAGAACTCCAGTTCCACATCTCTACTGTCCTATGCATAGGCCTGAACAAGCAACTCTCCTGGTGAAAAAGACATTCCATCTCTCTTGGCCCTGGACCTTCTCTCTGCCCCCCCCCCCCCCCCATGCTTTAAATGTTCTCCATCCTCTGCTCTGCTACTGAGCTCCCTGACTTTCTTTACGTCCTTTTTTACAGGAAGCCTACCGCAATCTCTCTTAATTCCAGTGCCTTCCCTCTCTTTATTATTTCCTATTTATCCTGTACATAGCTTGCTTTGCATATATTACTTTGCATGTTGTCTCCTCTATTAAACTATAAGCCCTCACGGGTAAGGACTGTCTTTTGCCCCTTTTTGCATCTCCAGCAATTAGCAAGGTCCCTGGCATATAGTAGGTGCTTAATAAATGTTTGATTTTTTTGGCTCCTTGTTTCCTCTAGAATAAATACAAACTCCTTAGATTGGCATTTAATAACCTCTCTAACAAGAGTCCAACCTAACCTTTTATTTCAAATTACCATGCCCTGGAATGCTCTTTCTCTTCATCTCCGACTTCTGACTTCCTTCAAGTCCCAGCTAAAATCCTACTTGCTACAGTAAGTCTTTCCCAATCTCTTTTAAGACAAGTGCCTTCTTTCTATTGATTATTTTCAATTTATCCAGCATATAGCTTGTCTGTTTGTACCTCTCTGCATGTAGTCTCCCTCGTTGGAATGCGAGCTCCTCAAAGAACAGCAAATGTTTTTTACCTGTCTTTGTATCCCCAGTGTTTACTGACTGACTATACTCTACGTGCCAGTCAAACTGGGCTCTTGGCTATTTCCCAGATGACATGCCATCTTCTGCCTTTATGAATCTGCATAAGTTATCCTCTAGGCCTAGGATAGCATTCCTCCTTCACTTGTACCTCTCAAAATCCCAGTCTTGTTTCAAGACTCACTTTACATGTCACCTCCTCCTTCCCTGAACTATACTCCCAATAGTCTCAAGCTAAAAATGTTCCATCTCTTCTCAATTATTCCTAAAGCATTTTTTTGAGATCTCTCCTTTACCCCCATAACTAACAGCATATTTATGGATGTATGTGCCTTATTCCATCCATCCCAGGAATGGAATATTTTGGGTTTTTGTGTGTTTGTATCCTCAAACATGCACCTAACTCTGAGCTTTACCCCTCTCCCTCTCTCGTTTCTTCTAAGTCTTTTTATCCTCCAGACTAAACACTCTTCATTCTTTAATCCATTCTTTTTTGGGAGGCACTTAAACTTAGAGAAGAGTTACTTAAGCCCTTACCAAAAGGCTATTTACTCTAAGACGGTAGACACTTTTAATAATAATGGTTATCTGGTTTCCCAGTCCATAACAGATTGAAAGCAGCAAAGTGAAAGCAAGGCCAGGGTATATTCTGGGAAAGCGAAGACTTCTTGTTGAGTTGTTTTTCAGTCTAGTTGGACTCTTTGTGACCCCATTTGGGGTTTTCTTGGTAAAGATACTGGTTTGCCATTTCCTTCTCCAACTCATTTTACAGATGAGGAAACTAAGGCAAATAAGGTTAAGTGACTTGCTCAGGATCACATACCTAGTAAGTGTCTGAGCCCAGATTTGAACTTGGGAAGATGAGGCTACTCCAGGCCCGGGACTCTATCCACTGTGCCACTTCACTGCTCTTAAAAAGACCTTTATCCATTCTTAAAAAGTTGTTTTTTATTGATCATTTCTTTACTTGATATAGTTTGGGGCCCTGCACCATTTTGTTTATCCTCCTTTGAATAAGGAAAAATGTTGTCAAGGTCCCTTTGGTGACATGGCCCATAAAACTGAATACAGTACTCCAAGCAAACCATGAATGTCAGAGATTTTGTTCTGGTCAGTAAATTCACGTTAACTAGTTACTTGTCTCTACACAGTAGAAAATGGGCAAAGCACTTAAATATAAGCAAATCTCAAGGATATGGGGCAAAGTTTGTTTAATTTCCCAGACATAGATTGAAGAGGACATTTAAAAGGGTTACACAGTCCAAGATCATACCTTAGGAAGGCTGCAAAGTATCTGAAATTCTTACTTTTAGAAATTCATTCCAATAATTTACAGTTTCTTTTAAACAATTACTGTTCAGGAGGCTAACACATTAAATAAGCCTTTGAAGTTTGTAAATTAGTTTATCAGAGACAGTAAGCCAGTTACTTGGGAAGGCCCATAAGACAGATAAATTTTGCTAGGGTGTGGCTGGAGAAGAATGGAAGGGAGAGAAAAAGAGGAACTGGAAGCCTGATGAAGGTGGAAAAAAGCACTGAATTTGGAGTAAAATGAAATGGGTTAAGATCGTGACCTCTACTATTTACTATATGTAACCTTGGGCAAGTCACTTGACTTCTGAGCCTCAGTTTCTTCATTTGTAAGATGAAAGCTTTGAGACTGTGACTGACAAACTTTTATCAATAAACATTTGTGCTAGGTGGGGAAACAAAAAGTGGCAAAAACGCTTTAGAGAGGTGGTTAAAAGAGAACTCTCAGATTCAAGTTACAAATACAATAAAAATCTTATCTGATTTATCTGAATATGTCTTCATAGCACTGGGGAAAAGCGCTGCTGTTCTCCCCATCTCCCCCCTCCCCCCCCCGACAAAGTCTGAAAGACCCAGTGCCGTCCATGCAAGCACCTAAGCCTGCAGTCTAGACCTTGAATGGCTAGGATTTGAAGCCGTCTAAGTTAGGGGGATCTCCGGCGCGGTACCAGGGCACCCCAAACAAAGAGGGAAGGGCCTGGAGGTGAGAAGAAAAAGGAACTCTAGAGGCTACCTTCCTTTACCCCCTCCCACGTGCCACACAAGCGGGTCACCCTCAGCAAAATCCTCTAGATCAGTCCAAGACATAAGCGGGGGGGGGGAGCGCAGTAAAATTACACTCCCCCTCCCCAAAGAGCCGGAACCGTCGTCCGTCGTAAGTCCAGCGTGGAAGGTATCAAACTGGTCTCCAAGTCCAAGGGATCAATCTCTGACCGCCGAGCCTGGGTTACTTGCCAAAAGAGAGAATCCCAAAAGCCCTTAACAGAGAAGAAGCTGCTATGGGACAAGAATCCGAGAAAGAGGGAGTGACAGACAGAGAAAGAGGCCCCGACACTTTGGGGCGGCGTGAACTACGCCAGGAATGCGAAAGAAATGTTAGGAATCCAGGGCTGGCGGAGGCTGGTGGCCGGTGGAAGAGCAAAACCGGTTTAAATCCGGCCACTGGCAGCGGCCTCCCTGCTCGGACCACAAACCCGGGTGCAGGGAAACGAGTAGGACGGGACGAGCTTACTCGGGAAGGCTGCAGAGAGGAAAGTCCTGCTGTCCAGATTTTATCGCGCACCTAAAAGTGAGAAGAGGAGCCACTGGGCACAGCGCGAGGAGCGAAGCCCCTGAGCTGAACTGCGCTGGGCTGGGGGGAGGGGAGAAAGGGGAGACCCACAGCTCCTCCCATCTCCAGTCTTGGCTCCTCCCTTCCTTAATGCGCTTGCGCAACGGCGGAGCCCGACTCTATTTGGCTATAAGATTTGCGGCAGCGGCACCAGCGTTGCTTACCCAGCATGCCGCGCGGGGGCGACGGCTGTACGACTACCCCTTTCCCTCCCCCGTTCCCCCACGTTACCCTCCTTTCCCCCTCCCATCCGCCCCCCCTCCCTCCAGTGAGTGAGTGAGACGGGCAGATGGAGGAGGGACTGTAATGGCGGCGGCCGGCAGCTCCCTACTCTGACCCGCGGCAGACACTTAGCAACGACCCCCTCCCCGCCCCTCTCCCCGCGGGCCGCCGCCCAGCCGCCCGTGCGGGGCCACCTTCCTCCTCCTTCCCCCCCGCCCCCGGCCGTCCGCGTTTCCCCCCGCGCCCCGGCCGGGGCCCCTCACACAATGGATGAGCTCCCGGGAGGAGGCGGCGGCGGCCCGGGGATGGCAGCCCCTCGGCAGCAGCAGCAGCAGCAGGGGCCGGGGGTTAACATGAACCTACAGCCGGGAGCCGGTGGAGGAGCGGCCGCCGGCGGGGGTCAGCCAACGGCGGCGGCGGCGGAGGGTGCGGGCCCCTCTACGGGCCCGGAGCTGTCCCGGCCGCAGCAGTACACGATCCCGGGCATACTGCACTACATCCAGCACGAGTGGGCGCGCTTCGAGATGGAGCGGGCGCACTGGGAAGTGGAGCGGGCCGAACTGCAGGTAGCCGGTCGCGGGACCCCGGGGGTGGGGGGGACCACAGGACCTCGACGGGAGGGTGGAGGGGGTGGGGCCCGCGCGGGGATCCCGGGCCCGAGGGCACTGGGTAGGCGAGACGTACCTTGGGGGGCCCAGGCTGAGGAGGAGCGGCGGCGGCGGCAGCAGGTCCCGGCCGGGGTCCCCCTCCCCCCTCCTCCCTCCGGCGGCGGGAAGCCTTCTCCGAGGCCCTCACTGGCTGCGCGGTGCGGGCTTCCTCGGGGCAGCCATTTTGGTTTCTAGTATGGCGTCCGCCGGGGCTTCGACGGAGGTGGCGGCGCCGACCCAACCTGGGGATCCGTGGCCCCGGGACGATCCCCCCGCCGAAACCCCGGGTAGGGGAGGGAGGCTGGCCGCGGGACGCGTGCGCCACGGCAGCCCTTAACCCTTCCCCCCTCGGGCCAGAAACCTTGGCCCGGAATCGTGCCGGGCTCTTCCTCCTCCCCTTTTCTCCTCCTCCAAGTAGGTCCTCCCCACCCCCACCTGCCCTTTGACAGCTGCCCTCCCCTCCCCGGGGTATCCGGGCTTCCTCCAAACAGGATTTTAAGTTTTCACTCCCCGCCTGGTGAAGCTGGCTTGGGGGGGCCCGGTTCACCCAGGTGGTGTGCCCCCCCCCTCCTTTGGGTTCCTAACATTCCTCAACTTCGGGCCAACTCTTGAACTCTTGGATAATGAATAATTCCTCAGTGACTTCAGGTTGCTTTACTTTTCTCCGTGTCCCAAGCAGTCACTTCCTTCTCTCTGCTACTGGGTGTTAGGCGAAAGAGAAGAGGGCAGATTGGACTTAAATCTGGTTGGAGTAAAGATTAGTTATTTTCATATTTCAAGCTCCCTTTTTGGGGAGGAAATGGAAAATGAAATATGCCTCACTCATCCTCAAAAATGGGAAGAACATGAGTGTGTAGGCTTTTGTAGTAGGGCAGGGACTTGGATTTAAGAACCTACTGTTGATATATCTGTTGGGGAAGAATGTTTTAGTGGACATTTCTAAAGTGTTTATTTTTAAGCCCCTTTCCAAGGCAAATTTAGGACTAGGGGGTGGGGAGCATCTCCGGCTCGAACGCCCTGCACCTGTTCTTTTTTTGACAAGAATATGTTTAGTTTGCATGCAGTATTGTAGTTCACTGGATGTGTGGACACTAAATAGTTATGGAAATATAATATGGAGGGGAAATTATACCCACTTTAAAAAGATCTCATCTCAAGTATGTAAACCAGTTTTGAAGACAAAAAAGGTTTTGGTTTTTTTTTTTTTTTGCTCTTATAAATAGTAAAGTAACAAAATGAGGTTAATGATTTTTTTTAAGTGAAAATAATAATTTTGCTTTTGAAATTGTTTTTGTCAAGTCTTAGGAAAATAAGATTATGAGATTCATTAGATACCTGTCAGGTTTTTTTGTTTTTGTTTTTTTGGCTAGGCAGTGGGGTTAAGTGACTTACCCAGGGTCACACAGCTAATAAATGTCAGGTGTCTGAGGCCAGATTTGAACTCAGGTCTTCCTGACTCCATGGCCAGCCCTCTATCTGCTGTGCCACTTAGGTGCACACACACCCCTCCCCCCCTTTTTTAAAAACTTTTGTGGATTTTATCTCATTTGATAAAGTATTGGACTTTAAAAACACGAAATTAAAAAAAATGTTTAAAGGCTTATTGCCTTTTACGTTTTGGGGGTATTTTTAATATGTACATGTGATACATGGTGCATTGTGCATTTTAAATGTTTTATTGAAAGTTTGTAGTGACCTACAGATAATATGTACCATGGACTACACTGTTACCCATGTAAGTGGACTAATCATATTAGAAAAGGGTTTAGGGTTTTTTAAAAGCATATATGTTGGAATTTGAATTTATTTTATAACATTATACTAGTGTCCATAAGTATGAAACATGATGAAATAATTTGTATAGTATGGTAGGTGGGTTTGAAACTCGGTGAGGAAGAATTACTAGGTATGATCATTTGTCCCATTTTTCTATTGATGATTTTGAAATGCAATAATGCAGTCTAAATGTTGATGATTAGTGTGTTTTATAAGGAATTAATCCTAGGATTTGTATTTTAGGATTTTTTCTAAATAAGAATTTCATTAGTCACTCTCATACTGTAGTGTAACACAAGCACTAGAGATGTTACTGGTTTACTACTGGAGTTAAGTTAATAATGTTAATCCTATAATGTCTGTTTTGACTTTGCCCTTTCTATCTTTTCTCCTATTGATACTCCTTTCCCCATGCAGCAGCCTATCTATGTTTGCCAGTTCTGGGAAAGTCTTGTCCATGTCCTCTTGTAAATCTTCCAAAGAGAATGGCTCTAACCTATATATCCTGGGGACCTTCCTCTGCTGTTCTTCACATTGCTAGGTCACAAGGACCCAGGGTGCTCATTAGTTAATCTTTACTCTTGCTAGTGACCAATCCATATTTTTTTTTTGTCTCTGACATCTGGTAAGTTATTTCTCCTGTGTAGCTCACACCCACTATGTACCTCTGCATTTGCCTCTAATTCTTCAGAAACCTAAGTACAACGCAAAGAGTAGAGTATCTGTAGTCAGACAAGGTGGGTTCAAATTCTAGTTCACCCATTTAACAATTATGTGAACCCACCCAAGTCACAGGAACCCGCTGAGACTTAGTTTCTTTCGCCTTCTATGAAAATAAGGGGGTTGAACTAGATTACTTTTAAAGTTGCTGTCAACTCAGTGATTCATCTTTGATGACTCCCCAAATATACGCTATTACTAGGAGAATACAGTATTGTTCATTTAAAGGATACATCTTAATTAAAGGAAAAACTTACCACCAAAAGCAGTACATTTTTTCCCAAAAGCAAAACAACCTGTCCTTCACATGACCAATTCTGAGACCAGGTTACTTACTCCAGAATAAATGTATTGATTGAACCAGTTTTGTGAATTGTCCAAGTCATTTCTGAGGGAGATGCTTAAACTAGCAAGGAGGCTGTATTTGGAGGCCTGGGACCTTAGTTTGAATCCTTATTCTTGCTTTCTGCTTCTGTGACATTGGATAAGTCATTTCCCCCATAAAGGTCTCAGTTTTCTCATTGTGTAGAAGTAGGAGGTTAGATTAGTTAGTCAAAATTCTGTGGTCTTAGGATTCTGCTTGCTCATAAAATTAATTTCAGCAGAATGGTTTTGCATATACCAGCTTAGTTTTTCAAGACAACATAACTTCTGTTTCTAAGCCATAGGGATTGTTATGTGCTACTTTTGAGACATAAAAAGTTCTTATTTTCTTTGACAGTTTTTGAAAGTCAGTAATATTTATTTCAAATGTAAACTAGTTACTAATTTTCTCAATTTTACAAATAGCCTATTGAGATTTTTTTACTTGTTAGGTTTTCATTGACATTTACCAGTTGTGTTTTAGAATATGTGGATGGGGGGGTGAATTCATGTCATTATTTTAATGAAGTGTCAGTGCACTTCTAATCATAAATTTATCTTTTCTAATTTATTATTTATTTTAAATATTCTTTTCTTTTTAAATTTTGAGGTCTAAATTCTCTCCTTGCCACCCATTGAGAAGGCAAGCAGTAGAATATGAGTTATCCATGTGAAATCATGCAAAATATTTTTTAAAAAAGGAAGAAGAAAGATAATTATACTTCAGTTTGTACTCAATTCATTAGTGCTCTCTGGAGATGCATGGTATTTTTTCATCATTGAGTCCTTTGGAATTGTCCTAGATCATTGTATTGATCAGAGTAGCTAAGTATTTCATAGTTGATCATCATTACAACATTGCTGTTATTTGCTAATTGTAAATTTAAATGTATTGTAAAGACGAGCCTTATAACAATTAAAATACAAGTTATATCACTTGCATAAAACCTAGCATATATGCATGTATGTATGTGTATATATGTATATGTTATATGTGTGTATATTTTTTCTCAAAATATGATTCCTTGAGTTGTCCATTATTAGAAGTATTAATAAAATTATAAATGTTTTGAACTCAGATAAATTATGTGATAACCTTTTAATATGTGAATTTTTATCCTCTGAAAAAGATACTTTTAGGTATTGTGAACCTCTGTGAACAGGAATTTGACCTAAGCCTGTTTTGGAATCACTAGGCTTATTTTATATATACATATATGTACTATATTTACTTAGTTCCGAATATGTTTTATCTGTGAAATGATAGCTCCTTGAGGGAAGGAATTGCCCACTTTTGTATTGGTATCACTGATGCCTGGCACTTTTTTCCCCCACTTGCACTGGCCCGGTGATTTCAGAGGTGTAGAGTATTCCCCTCTACAATGGCAGTCAGACTTTGTTCTGAAACTTAATAGTTTTGGAGAGATGCTTGAGGCACTGAAAGGTTATGACACAACTACTTATTAGAGGCAGTACTTGAACCTAGGTTTTCTCACTCAGAAGTCAGTTCTCTACTTGCTTTACCACTCTGCCTTTTGCCTGGCATATAGTTGGTACTTAATAAATACTTTGTTGTAATGGGTTTCATTGCAGAACTACCAAGTTGATCTCACTCACAAGATAGTCTGTAGTCAGCTTAAAAGGTATAACCTACTTTTGGTTGTTAATGTTGGACTTCTCTGTATCGGTTTTGAAATAGCCTCTAGCTGGGTCTTGTCTTTGTTATACAGCTTTCCTTGTTTTAGCTGATTTAACTTGTAATTCCCAATTTTGTATTTTCATGTGCTACATATGTGTTCCTTATAGTTTTTGTGTATGGTGCATGCATGTGGCTTTATCTTTGTCCTATTTTAGTACTTCTGGAATCTCTGATACATATTTGTGTAATATGGTACTTAACTCATTTCACTAGTACAAATTATAAACCCCTACATGTTTTAGTAGATAGTATTCATTAGTTGCTGTGACTGAAAAAAGTAGTACTTTCACAAGCTAACCTCCTGGTGGTGACTTCCTCCAAACTTTTCTAGGCTTATTCTTAGATGAGAAATACAGCCTATATTTGTGCCTGTTCTTTTTGAAAGTTTTCCTGTTTGGTGGAAAGAGCGGTCAGAGATTATACTATGCTGTTATGGACTTCAGGAACCTAAGGGTCACTTGCTTGGGAGCCATCTGGTATTAGGGGAGGGTATTTTCTATAAATTAAAAATATTCAAATGAATGTAATTTATAAAGTGTACTATAGAAAGAAGTGTTGAAATGAAATCTTTAGTGCTTTTTTGTTCATTTTTCATTCTTTTCTGACTCTGTGACCCCATTTGAGGTTTTCTGGGCAAAGAAACTGGAGTGGTTTGCCATTTCCTTCTCCAGCTCACTTTATGGATGAGGAAACTGAGGCAAACAGGGTTAAATGACATGCCCAGGGTCACCCAGCTAGCAAATGTCTGAGGCCAAATTAGTCTTCCTAATTCCAGGCCTTGAACTCTATCCATTTATTTAAAAGTGCACCTTGTT